TGGTGGCAGGACTTGATGTTAATGAAGAACTTTTTTGGAGCCACAGACAGGATCACTCTCTCTACATACGTCTTGTGGTGGCTCTGGAAAACCCGTAACTGTTGGGTTTTTAGAAAAGAATGGATTTCAGAGAAAGAAACAGCTCATGGGGCCAGGTTGGAGTGGTCGGAGTTTGCTGCAATCTTAGATAGCTAGTTTTTTTTGCTGTAGTTTTTTCTGTTTTCTCTTCTTGTGTTTCTTTTTCTTGTGGGTTGGGGTGACTGTTTTGCAGGGGTAATGGACTGTAGGGTAGCCATTAGTGCTATCAGTGCAATCTCCATTGCTCCACTTGATAGGTTCTGTAAATAGTTAGTATCTGCTTTGCTCAGTTTTTTCCTTTTCTTCATTCCTTTTTTTGTATTTTGTGGGTTGGGGTTTGGGGTGTTTCTGTCTCTTTTTGGTTGTTTAGTCAGGGTTAAGCCGAACCTCTCGGTGATGCTCGCTCTCTTTTGCTGTCTAGTTTTTGTTTGGGGAGTTTAGACTGTAAAAGGTCAGCCATTTGGCTGGTCGGCTGATGTTGTTGTACATAAACTTTGGAGTTTTAATTAATGCAATTTTATCGTTTGAAAAAAAAAAAAGACATTGTGACCGTTATTATTTGACATGATTATCGTCCTGGTGTGTGGAATGATTCCGTGAGAGTTTTCATAATAAATTATCTATCTTCTATTGATCTACATATGTAATTAAACAATAACTAGTACAATCCATGTGTATTACACGAGTGCTTCCTATTTTTTTTTTCTTAAAATTTAAAACTAATGAGAATAAATGGTTAAAAAGTTAAATATTTTTATAAATAAATATATAATATTATATATTTTAGTATGATACTTGTTATTCGTGCGACTTACTTCAACAAAAAATTGAAAAGAAGAATTAAAATTCTTATTGTGGAGTAAAAAATATCTAAATAATTATTAAAAAATTTATTATTATTGTGAATTCTAAAAATTATTTTTATGAAATATTATTTGTTCTATTTCATAATTCATTTTTGTCAAAATTAAATAGAATAATTAATTTATTCAAAAACTAATATAACGCTCGTAAACAACACGCGGTTCTTAAAAATTTAGTTTTTATTAGCAAAAAAATAAGTGAAGAAATTAATATTTTAATGATAAAAATTAAATATATAATTAACAAATAAAAAATAATAAAGTTAATTATCTAAAGTAATACTCAATTTTATATTCAATTTGTCAAAATTATAATTCTTTTAACCCCCCTCCCCCCAACAC